AAAACCCAGTCCAGTTTAAAAAATAAGAAACATTTGTAAAAATTCCATCAATAAAAGGATTAAAGAAAAACAGCACACTAAGTTTGACTCATGCTTAATCTCACCGCTTAACCTCTTCTGTCTTCAATTTTAACTTTACTTTTGATTTTTTGGGGGGTGTTCTCTTCTCTAATAATAAAATTTATCTCACCAATTCGAAACACTTTCTCTCCAGCTTTCCTTCCATTCTGGAGCTGTCCCAACTTTCAACAGCTTTAATGGCTGCTTCTCTGTCGCTGGAAAAAAGGGCTTCTCCTGGATCCACCAGGGACTTTGCGATGTCCCTGGGATCAGCAGGATGTGCCCTTCTCTATCACCATGTCTACGGTACGGTTTAGGTCCAAAAGGATTGTCCAGTGGCAGAGATATTGACGGCGATCTTGGAGCTTCAAGATCTCACATACCATCACAACGCCAGCAACACCCCCTCCCCCAGCCTGTAGAATTATTAACAAAGCTATTGTTAGTCTCTTAATGATATTTGTATATTTGTCAAACCACTGCTTTCCAATTTATTCTTTCAAAATCTAAGATACTAGCTGGGTAATCTTCTTGTAGGTACAACTATGAAATAGAAAGTAGTTAATGTTACCTTAAGAATGGTACATTTTATCAGAATATAGTATCTATTGGATTATATTCATGACTTGTTTAAACATTTCTAAATATTACAACATACATCACCTTTGCTTCCATTTCACTTAGCTTTCCCTTTTTCATCTAGTTTGAGCTAGACCTTCTTCAAAGCATTGCCATGTTGCCGTGTTACACATTGAAGCATTATATGTTTGCAGTATTCTGTACAAGAATGCTGTACCTATTGACAGATGCCTTTTGATATGCTGATAAATCCAACCAATAGTAATGCTGACTTTATTATCACTGTCAAGCTGGAAATAGGATCCTTCAGAAAGAATATTATCCTGACAAAACCATGTTGATCAATTGAACTACTTAGTTTTCAGCAAACGTGAATTTTATTATAACTGGATTTTATCCAGTTATTAAAAGTTCCAAATCAGATTCTCCAGTACCTGATGAAAATAAAATATAAAACTAAACATTTTCAACATGGAAAATCTCAGTCTCTTGATAATTACACTCAGTTTTATTCTGATTTTTTTTAAAAACCTAACAAGCAACTCCATTTGCTACTTATATCATAGTAGAATAGCCATTATGCATACCATTCTGAGATTGCAGATAACAATACTGCAGTGTTTATGTTTTGTTTTTTGAGCATACAATTTAAATCATATATATTTTATAGAATTTGAATATTATGTTTTTTTCTCTTCTCTCGCCCATCTTTATAGAGCTGATGGAGGTGTCAGTAAAAATAGTTTTGTGATGCAGATGACTTCGGATTTAATCAATAAATCAATAAACAAGCCTGACAGCACAGACATGTCTTGTCTTGGAGCAGCTTTTCTAGCAGGCCTTGCTATTGGTATGCTTTAGTCTGAATATCTGGGGGAATCTGTTTTAAAAGAAATTGTCATTTATTCCATATTGTACAAAATTGGCCAATAATGATTTTTTTTCAAGAGTATGCTGTATAGCAGGGTCTCTGACCTTGGCAACTTTAAGCTTGGAGAACTTGAACTCCCAGAATTCTCCAGCCAGCTTTGCTAATTTTCAAAAATCATTTGCAATCATTTGAACCAAGGTAGAACATAAAACTACAATAGTACATCTCTCTTACTGTTGACTAAACTATTTGTTTGCTTCTTTGTTTGTTTGTTTAAAAACATTTACTGCCTGTATTGTAGCAGCAACACTGGGGAGGGCAGTATTAAATCAACAGAAAGCACCAAACCATAAAATAAAAATCAATTATAACTCCATTAAAAATGCCATCGCACCTTATGGCAACACTTTCCTATGCATCCCTGTGCCATGTTCGTCTCCAACCTCATCCTGCCTCTACAATTGTGGGAAGAGTTACGTAGCTCTCCAAACTTCTAGAAGACAAGAAGGTTGGAGCCTAGTGTATTTCTGGGAGATCCACAGGACAAGGGGCACTTAAAGAGAAACAACCACAGAATATATAATGCTGCAGAAAAATCTGTAGATTATTACTTAATAGATTTATTCTGCAAGTTAATTCTGTAATATGAAAAGTATTCCAAATATTTAAACATCGTGTTATATTCTTCATACTATTATTATTATTATTATTATTATTATTATT